GGTTTCTTCCCCAGGTTGTGGATTCTGACATGTCCAGCTGCTTTAGTGTTTTCATCTCTCATAGTCTATCAATAGTGATGATTCAAATGGTATAAAAATAGAAGCTTGATATCAGTAATTTGATTTGTATGTAAGCCTACCCAGATCTCCTTCTGCTTGTGTTTTAAATACTCTGAGCATTTAGCTTTGTATCATGCAGTTTTACTGAAGAAATTGGCTGTGGTTCTGGAAGTAACATGCTGTACTTGAAGACCTGAATTTGAGTCCTAAGTACTTTGTGGTCTTGGTGACTCGGTTTGCTTTTTTTTTTTTGACTGTTTTCCAAAATTATGATTTAGAATGAAAACACTTTTACAAATTTACATTGTATTACTGAGATTTTTTTTTTTGTTAAAAATGCCTGCTGTTTGTGATGAAAGCTATAAAAGCTCTGTAATTTTTTTTTATGTCCTTTCAAATCTTGAAGATTTTAGACCTGTCTCCTGAAACTGTGTTCCTTCTGTGAAAACATTTGCATTGTTTCAGCTGAAAGTACAATTGTTCATAACGTGCAGACTGGACGTGAGATACTGCTTTGCAGTAGCTGTTAATCTGCTGATGAAGTGATTCCTGTAGAGACTGGGGGGGTTTGTGTAGAGTGCAAACGGAATGGAACAAGTCTCAGAAATCTGTAGCAATTTAAAATACTGCTGGGGTGTGAATTAAGATGTTCAGAAGTCGCACACAGTTTCTTGAAATCTTGATCTTTTTTAGCCCTTCATAATGCTATCAACGGAGAAATATGGTTCTTAGAGGTTCTAAAGCACAAGAAAGGAGGATAACTGGGTAGACAAAGCACCACTGTAGAAGGTGTGAGCCCACAGTCTGCGAATCTATGTACACTGGCTGTGGATGTGATTGACTTGCAGAAGTGTGTTTAGCTTGCGCGCTTTAGGGGATGTTGTTAGAATGCCTGTATTTGGGCACGTAGTTTGTCCCAGTTGTGTAGTGAGATTCATGATTGTAGAGTCCCTTCCCTGAGGCTGAAGGTCAAACATTTTGCCTTGTGTTTTGCTGTAGGGTGGGAACAAGAACATAGTCAGCTTAGGAGACTTCGCTGATGGGCAGCAACTTGTGAAGTCAGGATTACTCAGGTTTTTTTATATGTCTGTATTTTGAGGCATTTCATTTGGAATGTGTGCCACCTAAATAGCAACTCTCCTAGAAGTGAGGCTTGTTGATTGATAAGTTGTGATCGTGAGATAAATTTGTTATAGAGAAGAAGAGACAGAAGGTACTAAAATAACCCCTCATGCATGAATAAGGGCTGGGAAGTTGCAGAATTTTGTGGGTTTTCCAAAGTATGTGCATCCATCCTAAAATTGTGCTAAATCAGGTTGTAGAGAGGCAACTATCATCTGGAGTATCTGGCCGGGCAAATAGGCTCTATCATGTTAGAAGTTTCTGTCTCAGGAGCTTTCTTAGGGTATGGATGCACGTCTTCTGATCTCACTGGCAACAGCAGTAGAAATTTCTGCCTCTTTCTTCTGTCTTCACCAGAGTTTAAGGCTGCATCCATTTTCTGTGGACTTTGCAGGTTCATGTGGTGGATTCTAATCTGTTTGGGTCAAAATAAGCCTTTTTTAGCAGACACCAGCTTTAAGCTTTAAGATCACCTGCTGTTCTTTGGGAAAGAAAAGCAGCATGACTGGTTGGGCCAACTGATGGGGAATCATGCATTTATGCACTCAGTTCTGTCATGTGCTGCTTTGAGCTGTCTTTGAGCAAAACTTGAGGCTTTTTGGCTTTATTTGAAGGATGTGATGTAACTGGTCAGGTGCATGCGCAGGTAATTACAGTTTGCATTGCAAAAATTCCTTTTGCACTTTCATCTGAATACTGTGATGATGTTTGGTGTATAATGTTAAAGGTCTACCGTATTCCATTTTGGAAAGTTTCATCTTGCAGAGAAAAAACAAAGAAAGCTGATAGTGAGTGAAACACAAGGCCTTATTCAAGTGTAGGGCTTACATGTGTTTTTATAGTGTGATAGTCCAGCTTAGGAGTCTTTTATCTCATAGGGGCAAAGAATACTCAAATGTTTTATGATAACCTAAGAAAATGTTCCCCAGGGACTGGTAAAATGTTTGTTATATGTTGGTAAAGTTTGTAGTATTAGATAAGCATGAAATCCCCCTTTCCTGGCTCTCAGTGTTGGTATGTCAAAGGACTGTATAGCTGTCAGTTTGCCATGTCTACTGTGTCACAGGCATCCACCGAGAAAGCCAACAAATGGGCCAACTTGTTATTTGTCAAGGTACTTCTGTGTGATCTGAACATCTGCCTGCTGTGTGTTTGTGAGGTTGTCTCATTGTCCACAGACAGCTGTGAATGTAACTCGCCACTGCTGTTCTATTACTGGAATGGTACTATTACTGCAAAGCAAAGTAAGTTCATTTGCATTTTCAAAAAAAAGTTTCATTACCTCTTAACCACTTTTTAAGTCTCTGTAATGTATCTTTTTTTCCTTTCTTCCTGTTTGAATTCATGAATTGGTTCTTTGGAAAAGGGATTATTTGTATGCATTGGTACCTTCCGTGTTACTGCTTTCAGCACATCATGGTGAATAAATATTATCAGCCCACTCATCAGTAATGACCATTAACCTGAGTATTAACTGCTGGGTCTCAGATGGAATGCTGAATACAAACTTGTTCCAAAATGGCAGAATCTGGCTCTCCTTTTTTCTGTAATAAATCTGCTTCTGTTTGCAGCACTGTGTTGCTGGGAGACTGCAGCTAATTTTTATGGCGCATGTCAGTAGTAGTGATTCAAATTATACATTTCACTGAGTGGCTCTTTGTTTGTAAACTGTCTTCTATGAGACATTTAACTGTCTTTTTTTGTTCTGGGGAGAGCAGTATCCAGACCAGAGAAAATGACTGAATCTCAAACAAATGCTCAGATTGTTCTGTTGATAACTCCGGGGGGGATGGTGGCCTGGCTGAATTTACACCAGTCTGGTAGTCAAGTCTAACACAGGTATTCAGGAGGATTCCAGGTGAGGTGTATACATCATCTGAAACTGCTGTTTTTCTTTCTCAGACTCCATGGTGCAAAACTTCAGCATGTGGTGTGGCTTTAAAGCCAAACAATAAAATAGTCTCTGAGAGATTATGAATTAGAAAACTATGTAGTTTTGGTTCGCAGCAAAGATACAGTGGCAATTTTGGGACTCTGTAGAAAATGCAGTGCTTTTTGAAATGATTTTTACACAGCTTGCACGTGGATCAGGACACGCGTGTAATCACAGTGGCAAAAAGTGGGTGTAACTGGGCGTGCAGCTGAATGAGAAATTACACGTGTAAGGTGGAATCTGACTAATAATCTAAAAATCTTTTGGTTGCTGAATCTGTACTCCATTTCTGGCTAAAGGAGATGGTAGTCCATTTCCTGATGTTCACATTCCGCTTAGGTTTCTGTCAGTGTCTTGTTTTTAAGCTTGCTTGAGAAGCCTCTGTAAAATGGTGCGCGTGTGTGTCTGAAGCCTGCTTGCTTAAACACGCAAGTCATGTCAGCTGCAATGCGGCAGTGCTTGGTGCTAATGAGGTGAGCAGCCAGAGCACCCGTCTGCTTATGTTTTCTCATCTCCGTGCAATTATGGCAACGGGAATTGGAAAAAGGGTTTTGCATTGGCTATGGCTCTGTTTTGGCCTTTCCAGCGTGTGGTTCTGTGTCCTCCTGAGGACTGGGCAGCATATTTCTACTTCCATTTTAGGAGTTAGATGGTTGCTTCACTATATTTAAGCAGCTGCTTAAATATACCCTGGTTGGGAGAAGAAAAGCAAACCGGAAGTACAGAGAGGGGGGCACACCCCACCCCATCCACCCCTCCTTCCCAGTTAATTCACTTGCACCTTTAAATGAAATCTATCACCTGGCAGTGTGTGCCTTCAGGTTGAGTAGATGCAAGTCTGTATTTGAAAAGTAACATTTTTGGAATGGAGCTAATCAGGTAATTAATTTGGACTAGATCTGAATAGTTTCAGCTGGCCTTTCATAGGCGCAGAAATGCAGATGCACTGCGATTTCTAGGCTCACCTTCTTTCTCTTTTTTTTAACCCTTAAGGTGCTGACAGCAGTGTGAGCTGTGTATTTTACACTGAAGTCAGAAAGTTTTACTTTGAACATAAGGCAAATAAAGTGAATATCAAAATCCTGTTTGTCTTTTCCCATCCTCAGATGCCAGACTGTCTTCAGTGAGCTTGATGCCCTCCTGTGCAATCCTATCGTATTCCCATTCCTGCAGACTGTCTTTCAGTGTTCCTTTTTCAGATATATAGTCTGCAGAACTGTAGGTCATGATTAAATAATACGTTGGTCTTGGTGGCAAAGTTGGCTTTCCTTCTAGTTCCTGCCTTAATGTCGCGGGGTGCTGCTCTGTTAGTTGATAAAGTTATTTTTGAGTACTTGGTATAAATCAGATTGTTGAAATTATCTGTGTTAAAAATACTGTTGTTTATTTTTTTTAAGGGTCATATCTAGTCTCTGTTACTTTGGCAATATGTTGTGTAACGTGATACCACAAACAGAGGGATCAATACAGCTGGGACTGGGAAAGGTGTGAACCGTATCATGCAGGCAAGAACCAGCAGTGGGAGGCAGGAACCTCCTGAGCTATTGATACTGCTGATGTGAATGTAGCGTGCAGCTAACACCCGGGGAAAGGATGACTGGTCAACCCATAGAAAAAGCCCTTCGCTCTGGGAAGGAGCCCGGGATCGTGTGCCCTAATACAGTCTGTTCTTTACCTAGTCCTAGTTTTAAGTGGGTTAAGAATGACGTGTATGAAACAGCACAGCTGACAAGATGCATTTTAGGCAGAGGTGTGCTGTATTAACGCTCACTGTTGAAGTCTGGTATCTCGGTTGTAATCACATATAGTGCAGTATTTCTTTGCCTATTTACCTTCTCCTGAAGACCTTGTAGTTGACTGGGATGCTGTTCTCTTCCCTTTTTAGGTCTCCGGGTGAATGGGGAGCTCATTACTGCTTACCCGCAAGTGGTGGTTGTGCGTGTTCCAACACCTTGGGTCCAGAGTGACAGCGATATCACAGTCCTTCGCCATCTAGAGAAGATGGGCTGTCGATTGATGAATCGTCCCCAAGCCATCCTCAACTGTGTCAACAAGTTCTGGACGTTTCAGGAACTTGCTGGTCATGGTGTGCCTCTTCCGGACACTTTTTCATATGGTAAGGCTTTTGGATCAAAAGGGTGGCATAGTTGCCTACTGTAATTTATGCTTCTACAGAGCAAAAGATGTGAGTCAAGTTTTGGAAATCCATAGAACTAAGTAGCATGAGGCTAGTTCCACAGAGATGTGTTCAGTAACCAGAAAAGAGAATTAAAAGTTCTTTTTTTGGCTTTGTTGATTGGCTGTGATGCTTTGGGAAGAGTATTTTAACTGTACCTCAGCCTCCCAGGCAACTGACTTTCGCTGTTACTAGTAACACACTTTGAACTCCTTTCCAGTTGCCTGAAACAACAGACAAGAACTTGGGGAACTAAATATCATAGGATACTATAAAGATGCAGACTTTGTTAAAACCTGAAAGTAGGTTAAACTTCTATATGAATAAAAATATCTGCAAATATATTAGTTATTGTGAAAGGACAAAAGGAGTACAGGCCCTCGTGTTCAACTTTCAACAATTGTTTGGGGTTTGTTTCCCACCAGCACAGTTAATAATTAATGTTTCTTGTGCCTGCATCTGGAGTCTCTGGTTCCTGACAGAGTGCTAGATTAGAGGAACCATTTGTCTGAGCTACCCTGATGCTATTTCTGCTTTTAATTACAATATATTAAAGAATTGAAGATACCTGTCAGCCTTCCTTTCCTATTTGGGAAATACCAGTGCTTTCCTCCCCTTTGTGTGGTTGCACCAATAGGCTTCTGTAGGGGAAAATGGACAAAAACAAACCCATGGGTTTCCATCAATTACTGCGAATTACTGTTTCCATCAATTACTGTGAAAAAATGTTTGAGAAGATACATACCCTTTATTTAGAGATGTGATTGCTCTAGTTCTTTGAAAAGGGAATGAGTTTTTAATTTTTTGGGGGGGGGAAGGTGAGACAATGAATGATGGTGTAACTGCAGAACATCTCTATTTGTTCATAACTCCCAGCCACGTCTTTTAATGCCTGCCTCTGGAATTTGACAGAAGCACAACCATTCCCCTCCCCCTCTTTTTAACACAAATATCAAGTTATCAGTGAGAGCTGTCTTTGCCAAGAAAAACAGGATGTGCTGAATGACATGTTATTCCATGGCATGCATTAAAATCCATGGCAGGGTAGTGAAGGCTGCTGTTGGCTTTGTGACCAGTGTCTTGGCTTGGCTTCTGCGCTTGACTGCACATGCTGTTAGAGGAGTCTCATTCCTTTGTCTGCTGACTTTCTCTGCTGTATTTCTCGTACTGTGGTCAGCCTTCTGTGAATTGAACTGAACTCAAAAAATACTGAAGTATCAACCGTAATCATGTGAATGGTCATTAAAGCTACTCTCTAAGGTGCTTACAGATGCAATGAGACGAAAAGTTTGAAGTACTACTTCAGGATATAGGGAGAACGAGATGCAGGAGACTTAAGCCTTGGAAAGGGGGGAGGTGGAGTGACAAGATTTGGGTTGTTGCTGCTCTCTGGATTATGCCTTGTCTTTGTATTCCCTGTTGCTTTCCTGGTTAGTGGTTTGGATGGAACGTTACTGATGTTACGTCTGTGCTATTTTCCTGCTAGACCTTTGAAAAGATGGGAGTTGATAAACTGCAAAAAGATGGTAGAATTGGGGCATTCAGATTTGGAAGACTGAATTGAGCCTTTTGGGGTTGTGATCAAGAGGCCCTTGTCAATTTGTGTCTTCCATTTCAAAGGAAGTAGGAGTCAGTATCCCACAGATTACAAACGCCTTCAAAGTCTGATCATGCTCCATGACCAAGTTTCTCTTAACTGATATCTAAGCTGTAAGGGTGGGAGAAATGTGTGGCAATTACATCCCCAATTTGGCCACACCAAATTGGTGGCACATAATATTGTTGGTTTTCTTTTTGCCAGGTGGTCATGAGAATTTTGCCAAAATGATTGATGAGGCGGAAGTGCTGGAGTTCCCTATGGTGGTGAAGAACACGCGGGGTCACCGAGGTGGGTGTGAGGTCAGGGGCGAGGACAAGGAGTATTCTGAGCAGCACTCTTTAAAGATTTTGTCTTGTTAAGGGATGATAGTTAAGAAGATCTTCTGTTAGGTGTTGGACTTCTTTGTGCTGTATCTAAATTCAGCCGCCCTTCAAGTTCTGAATGTTGAGTAGGCTGCAACACTGGGAAGCAGTTCTAGTAGAACATAATCTTGCAATAGCACGGGAGATAGGGGTTCAAAATTATGGTGCATTGGTGACTTCTGTGAGGAAAGCTTTGAACTGGAATAATGGAAGCTCTGGCCTTAGGGAAGTAGAGAGAAGCCTGCATGGACACCTCAGTCCCTGGAGGTGTTCAAAAAATGTGTAGATGTGGCACTTCAGGAGGTGGTTTAGCAGGCATGGTGGTGTTGGGTTGGCGGTTGGACCTGGTGATCTTAGAGGTCTTTTCCAACCTTAATGGTTCTATGATTCTGTGATTCTATTCTATGATTCTATGATTTTAGGGATGTTTCTAAATAGGCAGAAGAAATAAAATCTTAGTTCATTCAGTCTTAATTTGAATTTTTTTCCTACTTTGTCTATAATTAGGATTCTGATGTAAATAAAATCTCATGTATGGTTTGTCAAACTGGATCTCTGTTTTTCAGAAAAGTATCTCTGACTGCTGGTGATAATACAACAATGTCAGATTAAATTGTTCTGTTATCAGTTTTGTTTTAAGCATGGAATATGAAACAATACATCAATTTTGTTTAGTGTTAGTGATCTACTAAAGGAAACGAGGTTTAAAATCAGTTTCAGAGGTTCTTTGCACAGGAGGTTGCACTGTTTTTTATTTTCTTTAAAACCAATTTAATAAATATTAGAAGTAAAAAGAGACTGAAATCAAAGTTTAATCACATAAACCAGCAGTTACCTTACACAAAAGCATAACAAAAAGACACTACTTTTATTGTCCGTCGGTTTGTTCCCACTCTGTGCTGCTCTGATGCATCTCTTCTGCATCTCTTCTGCTGGCATGAGTGTTGCTGTAGCTATGCAGTAAAAGGATTTAGGAACTGACGTTGGATGAATCTAGATGGGTTATTTTTACTCGGATTAATTCCTTGCATGAATTTCGTATACTCGCACAAATGCTTTGTTAATGTAGTGGAAGAGTAAGAGCAAAAGGCTGGGGCAGAGGAAGCTCAGGCCTGCTTCTGTTGGCCGTAATACCTGTTTATATGGTTTTAAAGTGCTTGTGGAGCTGTGAAGCCAAGTTGGAGTTTGCAGCAAGCTGAATTTGACAACTGTGGAGTGTCTGAGCCAGTGGATTTGACTTGACACTGCCTCTTGTTAAGATCTACTAAATAATTATAGAGTTTGCAGCTATTGACTTTCTTCTCCATTTTTTAGCTAGAATCCATGTAAATGTCTGTTTACAAGTTTTGCTTTAGAGCACTTAAAATTCCAGGCACTTTCATGGAAACTTATGCACAGTCCATATCCTTTCACATTAAGAGAGTTGGGGAAACTTGTTCAAATTAATTGAAGAGCAGCCATTTGCGAATTGTATTTTAAAAAAACAGGCAAACATGGTCATAGGTACTGGCTGATGAATAAAAGTCATACTCTACTAGGCCTGTTTTCTGTGTAGTTTGCTGCTGCAATAAATGGGCCAGTCTTATTTTTGCCAGGATGTCGTGATGCTGCATAATTCCTGAGAGCTAAGTAGTTCCCCTCCCAAGACATCACTCTCCCTATCCCATTTTAGGAGTACAGTAGGATTATGAGTGCCTGTAGGAGATCTGAAGTTGGTAGTGGGAGAAAGCACGTAGAGGCTTTTGCTGTCTTGTCATGATTTTTAAGCCTACATTCTGATTCTCTGTTTGTGATGAGAAATTCCATGTTCCTGAAGTAATGTTCTGTGTTATGGAGACCTTAAATCCTAATGAAGCAGGGGCTGCTCCAGTTGGGCTTTGGGGCACATGGGGGAATTCTTCACATGTTATTTCCCCTGGTTCTGCTACTGCTGCATTTCTGTTCCCTTAGTAAGATAGGCAGTTTATTAATTGACTTTTGTACTCTGTTAACATTGTAGCATAACTGAGTGACAGTTCTACCACGAACAAAAATTTGTGCAGCCTTATTGCAAAACAGAAATCTAGTGTGACACATAGAAGAGTCCTTAAGAAAGGGGAAAAGGACTTGGGAAATGTAGCTAAAGATGGAAAGAGATGCCATCTTGTGAGACTAGAAATGAGATGGGAAGTGATGGAATCTGTTTCAGGAGTGACTTTCATCAGTATTAGTACAATTGGAAAGAACAAGTCTTTAGTGTGCTCTAGAAATGAAGGGGAATGGAATGACATGTTTTAGGGTAAACAAAACAAGTCCTTGAGCTGTTTCCTTGCAGAAAAACTAGTGATTTCTAAGGATTTTTTTTTCAAAATTGTGGTACATTCCATTCATTTTGCCTTGTGGAACCTTCTGCTGAATTGTCGTGGATACTGTGGAGTCTGGTGTTTTCCTCTGAACGTCATTGTTCCACTGCAAAGCCCTATCCTGGAGTTGTGAGCCCTTGTGAGTGTTGGGATGAGCAGCTCTCGGCAGCTGCCCAACAGAGAAGCGGTTGGTTCTGCAGCGGCACACTAGCAACTTTAGAGTTCTTAGCTGCCTGGTGTGCAGCAGTTTCGTGTCACCGGTTCCTCTGTGACAAAGCTGTAGGCTGCGGGTCCAGTCCTCTTGCATAAACAAAACTGTGTTGTTAATTAAATGTCTGCTGCTCTTCAAGTATTTCTTCCTTTATTCTCTCATTCAGAACTTGTACCAAAAGGAGTTGAAATTACAAGACCGCTTCCTTTAGATAAAGATTTTAGGTTCTTTTTCTTTCTTCCCCCCTCCCCCCTGCCCCAGCTCCTCCACTCTGTCAGTTCTTGAACACTTGGAAGCACTGAAGCAGTGGAACACTGGTGTCCACAGAAGAATTTGTAGATGGGTATAAGTCACAGATGGGGCCTGTGAGAATGGGCAGCATTTACTTTTATGTGCTGAATCATTGGTGCAGCTCATATCACTAGCTTCTTCCAATCTTCCAATGTTCTTTTCTTCATACAGGTAAAGCTGTGTTCCTGGCACGAGACAAGCACCATTTGGCAGACCTAAGCCATTTGATCCGTCATGATGCCCCTTACTTATTTCAAAAATACGTTAAAGAGTCCCATGGCAAGGATGTACGTGTCATCGTAGTAGGAGGCCGTGTGGTGGGCACCATGCTCCGCTGCTCAACAGATGGGAGGATGCAGAGTAACTGCTCTCTTGGTAGGAAAAGCATTGTTCATAGTTTTAATCAGAATTTTTCAATCCAGTTGAAAAGTCACAAACCCAACTGAAATAAGCTGCAGGTTTTATTTTGTATTAATTGTGCTTACTATTGGGGTTTTACAGAGGAAACACGGGAGTAAGGATTAAGTGAGGTGCGTGTTGAGCAAACCCAGAAGGAGAGACAATCTCTGCCCAAAGTATTAGGTGGATGGGATGGATGAAAAGGGGGGGAAAGTTCTAGGAAGACAAACGGAGCAGCTGATGTGGTAGTGGCAGTGTCATGCTAATGCCATGGTATCACTCATTTCATCCTGTTAAGAGGAACAGAAAAAGAAGGAAGACAGAAGACAAGACTGAGGGAGGTGGAGGGTACAGCCAGTTGGCAAGGGGGTAGAAGAGAGTGTTAAGGGGGGAAACTGTAGAAGGCAATAAACAGTTGGATTGCATTGTGCAGCTCCTGTGCTGCCTTAAGTCTGCAAGGCTCCTCCCTGCTGCCTTTTCCCCTAAAGACCATGTCTGGGAGGAAGAGGAAGGATAGTGCATTGGTTATAGCATACTCAGAACTGAGTTTCTGCATGGCGTTGGGTGTAGGACAGGGGGGTTTCTGAGGGTAGACAGAGGAAGGAGGGTTGAGGTTGCCTGACTGAAACTGTGCTGAACCTGAGCAGGGATGGGGTAAAGTGTGTTCATGTGCAGTATGGTTTTGGTTAGTCAAAATGCCCAAAATGCATGAGAGATTTTAATTGCTACTTGATGCTGAGGAAATATAGCCTGAACGATTTTTCTGATAAATGTTTTTTTTTATTGCTTGGATTTTTTCTTTTTTTTTTTAACTTAAGTGTTGTGGAAGGTAAAGTCTGAGTTGGTTAATACTTAGATGATGGACTGTGAACTGGACCAGTGGAGTTTCAGACATAAATATTCCCTAATTCTTGCTGTAGAGACAGTAACTGATGATAGCAAGCAGAGAGGGACATGAAATGATAATATCTTAACCCCTGTCTCCCTCAATTATATCTGTTAGAGCTGTAGTCTTATCAGGAACACGATTTAATTTTACTGAAAGATTTCGTGTGATAACTTACAAATATGCATGGAAAGCCTTTACCTTAGAAGTAACAAGGGTGGTTTGTTAGGTCATCATTTTAATATCCCAGGATCATAAAAATGCATTGTATCTTTCTTGACTAAAAAGTCAAGTTCTGGTTGTTGTCTGACTTGTTCTTCAAACAAGTCAGAATCTTAACTTGCCTTTGGCAGGTCAGAATCCTTTGAAATCCTGCTGTGGCTTCGAGTTCGTTAGTAGTCACTGTGGAGAGGAGGTTGCTTTCTGAGTCATCAGCAATATGCTTGCAGGCTCGCTTTGGAGCTTCCCAACCAGAAAGGACTAACCAGCTGAGAAGGATGTCAGTCACCTGTGACCAGACTACAGACAGCAAGTTTTTTTCACTTGTTCCAGGTGGCGTAGGGATGATGTGCTCACTGAGTGAACAAGGCAAGCAGTTGGCAGTCCAAGTGTCAAACATCCTGGGGATGGACGTGTGCGGCATTGACCTGCTGATGAAGGACGACGGTTCATTCTACGTCTGCGAGGCCAATGCAAATGTAGGTTTCATCGCCTTTGACAAGGCTTGTAATCTAGATGTAGCTGGTATCATAGCGGACTATGCCGCTTCTCTCCTTACCCCCGGTCGCTTGACGCGGCGCATGTCCTTGCTCTCTGTGGTGTCCACGGCAAGCGAGACTAGCGAGCCAGAGCTGGGCCCTCCAGCTAGTGCCGCTGTCGACAATATGAGTGCTAGCTCCAGCTCTGTCGACAGCGACCCTGAGACCACGGAGAGAGAGTTGCTCACCAAGCTCCCGGGGGCTCTATTCAACATGAACCAGCTATTAGCCAATGAGATCAAACTTCTTGTGGAGTGATGCCACGTGTAAATAGATGACCAACAGAACTCTCTCTTGTAAATTTTTTTTTTTAAACCAACTTGCAATGCTGTTTATCAGAGAAGCTCAGAGGAATGACGAGGGAGGGGAGGGGGTGTCAATGAAGAGAGCAAGAGTAAAAGGCACGCATGCTGTGATTGCTGCCCATACTTTTTTGCGGAACATAAAATTGTGTTCACTCTTTGGCATCAGTTTTCTGATGAAGATGCTCGGTTCACAGCCCAAGTGGGAATTTTATGTGGATGCTGCTTTGGTCCCCCGATGTATTGCCATTCATGTGTGTTCACAGGCAAGCATTGAAGCATGATTCACACTTTTCACAGAAAGCTGTCTGGCAGCTCTCTAGAAACTTCTGTGAATTACTGCACCAGTTAAGTCTCTTCTACCTCTGTAAGGCTTGATCCTGTAAATTGCCGAGTGCCTCAGATTCTTGATGTGAATTGAAGGTGTTCAGTACCAGGTATTTCAAAGTTCCTGGACACCTACTGTTCCTACTCCTGTAGATGGGAGTTGTAAGTTCAGGATCTTTTTAAAGTCATCACTTTCTGAACTTGCAGGGTATGGCCTTGCAAATGATGAGGCTGAGAGAAGCGTCAGCTGACTTAACACGAGATATCTGTACAAATCTGTAATTTGTGCCATCTTGGTATTAATTGGCAGCTTTGTGTCTACATTTTTTTATAAAGCTTTTGAAGAAGGATTTTAGTACTTGTGTTTTTCTCATTTCAAATCCTGATTTTGGAAGGTATGTAGGGGAATTGGTCATATTCTGTTTGTGGCACAAGTGGCACGTTTTAACTGTTTTTTGCGTGATTGGAGGAGATAAACAGCACTGTAATGTTTGGTATGCAAAATAATGTTTAATCCAATGTGAAAAAGAATTACACTAGTTTAAAGCAAACGTGCATCGACTTGTATTTGTTAGTGTTTAGTCTTTTTGAGAGAGATCTGCAATGTTAATGTTCCTTTTTCTTTAATACATGCTAGTCCAACACACTCTTCTCTATGCCTGCATCTTTAACGGTGGCCAAAGTAAAAACACTGCAGACTGTTTGTTAAGAAAACACTGAGTTAAAGTGTGTACATTGGTGGGGTGGGGTTTTTTTGGTTTGTGTTTATTTTTTGCTTTTTTTTGGAGGGGAGGCGTGGTAAGGTGTGGAGAAGGGAAAAGTCGATAAAAGTGATTAGACATCTAGAGGTAGTTTAGAATAAAGCTGCAGTTCATACAATACTTATCAGGCTTACTTTTTCCCTACTGAATATAAAAGCTGGTATTGGCAGAAATCCAAAGAGTATAACTGGGGAGAAATACTCAATTCTTAGCTTTGGGAAACATGCTGCAGATTTAAAAAAGAAACATCTAAAACAAAAAAAAAAAAAGGAAAAAGAAGGGGGGGAAAAAAAAAAAAAAAAAAATACCCCACCAAAAAAAAAAAAAAAAAAAAAGATACAACCTAAGTCACAAACAATTAACAGATTGATCCTGGACCCTCATATGTGTGGTGTGAGTGCACACACTTGTGTGTGTTTGTGTGTGCACATTTGCTTCGCTTGATTTCTTTTTGGGTTTTGGCTGTTTAGCTCCTAATTTTTTTCCAGGCTGCCTGATTTTTCCATAGTCCTTCTGGCTGTGCATTTTCTCATTAGCCTTGAGCTGTTTTGGAAAACAGATAGCCAAAACAGATACTGAGTCCATTTTTCAGTCCCTATCTTCTCCCTCCTTTTCCTCCTCCTTCTCCTCCTCCCTTTTCATTCCTTCTCATCCTCTGGGTTCATAAAGCCCTGGAACTATAGATATATATATATATAAATATAAAAAAGATAAGCCTCTTTTTTTAAAAACAAAAAGTAAAACGTTTACAATTGAAAAATAATCTTGTGAAAATAGGGTTTGTTTGGAGGGGGGTTGTGTGTGTGCAATGCTGCTGTTTTCTGGATACTTTAATGGAGCATGTTCCATGTACCCTCTGAGGCTCTGCACTGCCCACCTCTGTGGCCCTTCCTCACCCCTCTGCTGCTCTGCTGTTTTATCTTCACTTGGACCTTAAACACAACTCACGGACACTATGCAGAGAGTCTTCAAGAGGCAATAAACAGAACAGTATTAACCTGCTTTATGGAGGTTTGATCATGCTTCTTTGTACAGCTTGGTTTTTTTATTTTAAAAGGAATGTAATAAAATGGCTTTTTTTTTTTGTAGAATTAAATATTATTATTAAAATCAAGTGAAAGGTTGACTGTTGGTGTTAAGCAGGAGAGTGGACCAGCTGGTCCAGCAACAAAAGGAACCTCAGCAGTAAAGGTATCTTCAAATCTTTCTTCCTGAGCCTTCAAGCACACAGGTTATACCTGAAGAATATAAAAGCCTTTAACTTCCATAAAGAGTTGCAGAACCACAGTACATGGTTGCAGAACCACAGCACATGAAAGAAACCTAATTTTCTGGTCACTGAGCAGTAAACTGTCTCTTCCAGAGACTCCTCTCCCCTTGCTTGTTTATCTAAGAGGAATTTGGGTGGTGGTGTTTTTGTTGTGGAGGTTTTTTTTTTTTTTCATTTTCTTTTCCCTTTTCACTGGTAGGTGCTTGCACACCTTGAGAGGCTGATAGTCAGTCCTTTCATTTTCAGCTGTGGCACACAGTGGGAATGAGGAATAATAGCCGGGAGGAAACATGTACTAGTTGGTATAGTGAGACCTCTGTATTTCTATCACAAGAAAAGTCTTTTAGAGGAAAGAGCTGGTAACTGAACATTCTGAACTGTTTGTTGAGTCTCTGTAGTATTTTGCAGCTCACAGGAACTTTACACTTCTGTCACCCTTTCGGATTGTCCAGGTTACACCTCACAGTAGTAAAATTTGTGAAGTAAACAAAGATTTTTTTTGAGACAAACAGTGGATTGCAAGATTTACAGTTTGGCTCCCTTGGGATGAGGTGCTCCTCTGTGGTTGATGCTTCTATTGCTAGTTTTGAGAGAAGTCTGTGCATAGTGGTCAGGGAGGGAGACAGCATTTGAAACATCATGTACATTTTTTTTGACATTGGGTATTGATACTGCGTGAAGACCTTGCATGAGGGTTGTTTGGTGCAAATGGGCACACTTGGCTCAGGTGTTTACTCCCTACTTATCCATTGCTCCTGAAATAGTGAAATGCATAGAATGGGCTGGGGGTGCGAGGGGGGTGTCTGGTTTTTACTTAGAGGAAAAAAACACCGAGAAATCTAGCCTGTGGTAACCAGGCAGTGTTTCCCATTGAAGGTGGACTTTACAGAGGTCAGCGTTATACACTGTATTCCTTCGGTTACATATGCTGAAAAACACATGCTAAACTTTCATACAGTTGCACTAACACTATGTCCATATGTGGGTTTGGAAGCGTGTGCTGAGAAAATGGTCAATGTAGTGCTGGATTACAATAGTGCTAATACAGCTGATGGTGGTACAACTATTTTCATATATTTTACTGTTTGAAAGAGCTAGTTAGAAATTCCTGTTTGCAAGAATAAGATGCTTAAACTATATCTGATGCAATTTTGTTCTTTGTAACACTGGAGATTGTCTTCTGTTCAACTTGCCATATTTATGGTTGATGTCTTGCTATGTCAATGTACGGATTGTATCTGAAACATTGTATTTAATGTTTTAAATGTGTTTTTATAAAACCTTTTCTTGGAATGTTACAACACCTCACTTATAACACAATGTCGATGCTTGATGCATATGTGGACTGTTCAATGTTTTTGTTTTAAGCTGATGGTCACTCTTGGAGCACTTTCTCCCACTTTGTGTGCTGTCTTTTATGTGTGATACTTAACTCGGGAAGTAACCTCTGGAACATCTGTGTATGTCAGACACAAAGGAGATGCTTCTTCAGATGTTATACGGGACTTCAAAATCCAACAAATGGAACCAGTGACATTTGCTAAATGCTTTCTCCCCTTTATTGCAAAAATTTGGCAGTTAAATACATAAGGGACCGTAAGGGCTTAGACTTTAAAAGCAAATCGCATGTGCAGTATCTTTCTCATGGCTGACTCTTTTTGAGAAGGTTTATGGGCTTTATGGCTGGTGTGAGACACACGACCCACTCCTGTTCTCTCTGTGGAATAGTAGGTGCTCGGACAGGTAACCTCTGTTGCTACTGTCTTTTTTTTAATTTTTAATTTTTTTCACTGTTCTAGGAATTGCTGTAAACTGAACAATGCAGGATTTATAACCAGATGTTTGCTGCTTTTTTCCTTTGTTTTATTTCTTTAAGTCTTTCTTCACCTTTGAGGGTGACTTTTGGAGTATTCTGATGGTGGATCTTGGCCTGCTGTTGGAAGTCTCCAAGCCTCTCACATTTCCAATTTGAGTTGAAAAGCTTTTGTTTTGTTTATTTGTTTAAACCAATGACACAAGTGAGATGTGCGGATTTTGGGTGGGATTTGTTGTTGCTCTATTTTGTGTGACTTATTCTCCCTTTTTTTACAGAAATCTGTTCTAACAGTTCACAATTTGTTACTGTTCTTTGCAAAACTTTTCAGGAGCCAAAAAAGTCAAACAATCCAGAGAAAACCTTCCCTTCTCCCCTTTCCGATGGCGAGAGTGAGAACTTATGAAAAGTCCTTGAGAATGTTCCTTCCTAAACTTTTCTCCCCAGTAATGCAAGGGGTAAAGCAGTAAATGCAGCAATTTGGTGACATCCAAAACCGACCTGTTGTCAGGTAAATTAACTCTTTTCTGCTCTTACTGTAACCTTCATAAGTTTGCTAACTTGTCTGCCTTCATTTCTTCCCATCAGTTCATCTTGGTGAAACTTTTTGAATGGTTTCTTTAACACTGATATTTACAGCAAATCCTGCTTTTCTTCTGTATTTTCCATCCTTTTACGTGTTGACCTTTAAGAAAACTGTCATTGTCCTTTGCTTTACTCAGCTGAGACAAAAGCGAGTCCCCTCATGTAAGTATGTGAGGGGACTAATGCGTTTATTCCTTACCACTTCTAGGTAGTTTGCCTTCAAGTGTATTATTTTAGCTTAGGTTTTTGAAAGATACGATGCTTTCCATTTGCCAAGTGAACATAAAATATAACTGCATCGATTAGGAGTTGATAGATATGAGAAACTAGAACTAAGAACATTAAATTAAATTATTAAAATTCAATAGAGCAGGATCCTGTAAAGAGGACAGCTAGGAGGATACACGTGCCAAACAA